TTTTAATTTGTTCAAAAATAACACAAACCCGAAAAATCACGAAATTTGATCGAAAACAGTGTAAAAATGATGTTTCACCTTGTTTTTTTGAGCATATTTTTGAGATAAAACTGTGCAAAAACACCAAATTGGATTTAAAAAAATTCTGGACTTTTTTWAAAACGTCAGGCACGCCTTTCTTTCGCGAAAATTGAGTCAAAAAATAAATATTTTTTACCGCATTTGRTACTGTTTATCACAATTTTACGAGTTTTGAGCTCAAAAACATGCTTTTACGGTTTAAAATGGCAAAATACACCTAATTTAGTAGTTTTAGTTTGATGTTGTAAAAATCCTTGTTTGAACGAATTTTGTTTAAAAAAAAAGCTCAAAAACAATAAAAATCATGCAATTTTTGAACCAATTTGGTGAATTTTTTCTTGTTTGATCGAAATCTCGCGTAAAACACAGTTTGAAAAAGTCGAAAAAAATTATTTGCACTGTTTTCGATGATTTTTTGGATTGTTTGATCGAAAATTCTCAAAAAAAGCATTCTGAAACGCTCTAAAAAAGCAGAATAAGGCGTTTTTGTATTGTTTTATTGGATTTTATTTAATGAAGTGTCAAGTTTGTGCTATTTTTGAACAAATTAAAATCAAAATTTTGCGAAAAAAACTTTGAACAAATTTTCTTGAAAAAAATTTTGGTGATTTTTTACTTGTTTTTGTTGAAAAAGTGAAAATAAAAATTTTTTCACCTCATTTTTGCTTTTTTGGTACTCTTTATCACAATTTTACGAGTTTTTAGCTCAAAAACGTGCAAAAACGTTCAAAAACGCAAAAATAATACAATTTTCCATTAGTTTTGGTTATTTTTCGCCTTGTTTGTCAAAATTTTTCGAAAAAAAGTGTCTTTTTAATTTAGTGATTTTCTGGTAAAAAACAAGATTTTAGCTTAAAAACACACTTTTTATGGTCTAAAACATCAAAAATACACCTAACTTAATAATTTTGAGGTAGATTTCTCACTAAAAGTGTTCTAAACGCTCGGAAAACGCAAAAGTAACATCATTTTTGACCCAAATTTGTAAATTTTGAATATGTTTGAGCGAAATTTCTCAAAAAAGCATTCTCAAATGCCAGGAAAAGGCAAAAATAAGACCACTTTAGTATTGTTTTAGCAGATTTTACTTAATGAAATGACAAGTTGTGGTCGTAAACAAAATACTCTTGCTTTCTTGAAAAAGTCAAAAATAATCATTTTTGACGTAATTTTGTGTTGTTTTTTTGGAGTTTAGCAAAATTTTAGGAAAAAAACACGAATTTTTAGCTCAAAAACGCAATCTTCGATCAAGTTTAGTTATTTTTTGCTTAGTTTGGGAGATAAGTTAGTGATTTTCTGCCCTATTTTAACAAAATTTTGTAAAATAAATCAGTCTTTTAGCTCAAAAACGTGCTACACCTAATTTGGTAGTTTTGGTGCCTTTTTGAGGGAAATTTCTCACTAAAAACTAATTTTTGACAACACCTAAATTGACAATTCGATTTGTTTGTTGTTATTTTTGAATTTTTGAAAAAAAAAAATTTTTCAGCCTAAAATCACTCTGCCTTCCGAAAGCTCTCTCTCCACAATCTCGCAGTACTTGCAGCGTCTCCAAAGCGCCGACTCCCCCTTGGAGAAACTGGAGTACCTCCTCGCCGCCATTGCTACAATTTTCAATTCGGTAAAACCCCCAAATCCCCCCAAAACCCGCCTAAAGCCCCCATTTCAGGTGAAAACCGGCCAATTGACCGGCTCTGGAAAATCCGTTCAGTTGGGCGCCGACGACTTCCTCCCCCTTTTCGTGTGGGTTTTAGTCAAAACGAATTTCGTCGCTGCTGAAATCGAAGCTGAATACATGTGGGGGCTGCTCCACCCCTCCCTCCTCTCCGGCGAGGGGGGCTACTACCTGACGACGCTCTCGTCGGCCGTTCACGTACTTAAAAATTTCAAAGAAAGTTGTGTGGAGAACGTCAAGAGTAATGTAAAGAATGATGTAAGCAGTGCTGAAATTGCTGAAAACGCACTGAAATGTTTTTTTTTTCAGTCGGTGCTGAAAGTTGTCGTTCCTGATGAGTTGCACGGGTCGATTCTGACGAAAACCTTGCCGGCGAAGCCACACATGACGACGAAAGATGTGTGCAATATCATCGCCCACAAGGCGAGGATCACCAATCCGCAGGATTATGCCCTCTACAGGGTCACCGACGGGGAAGGTGGGGATTTTGACTGAAATTTKGCAGGAATTTCAGTGATTTGTTTCAGAAACCATGTTGTTGGATAATGAATGTCCCCAGGATTTTATCAACGGGGGGAAACACACAATGTTGGCCT